GTGATTTAAAAATTATATACCAGATGCAACATCTGTATATCTCTGTTGTAAGTCTAAGCTTAACTTTAAAATTCCCTTTAACCCATTTCCGAATCTTTTTAACAACCCAGTCTATATTTCAAACCAAGTGCTGCCACAGTACTAGGATCCGACTCTTCATATATGGTGCCAACGACGACAAGGACGCGATTTTCTGTAAAGGCACCATCACTTGAATACTCGTATCTCAAGCCACTTGGTGCCGCCACCAGAAATTCCTTTTTTGATCAGGACTCGTTCCAGAGCCCATACAACGTATTCGTCTTCAAACATGTAGTTGCTATCTACCGGTCTATCTGGATTTGGTAAGTAAACAATGCTGATCTTTTGGAAGGAGTAAGCCAAATCCCCACTTTTTATGAAAACTTTTTGAAGACCGACGAAAAAACGATGAGAGATAAAGAGGAACTACTTGAGCTTCAAACCAATTTAAAGGAGTGTGAGTTTTCTTTTCTACAGTCAAGACCTACTACCCAACACCTGCTTAACCTTTTTTTGGTGAGTAATAAACTCTGGGCTTGTCGGCAGATAGCATATAAGAACTATCTCTAAATGACAAGTGCCAAGACTTTGCAGTGAGTGATAAACTCTAAGTCTGTCAGCAAGTAGCATATGAGAACTACTTCTAAATAACAGATACTGACTTATTGTCTAGTATGTCAAGTGCCAGCTTGTAAGGTCTCTTTTTGCAATAAAATGTTTTTTGGAAAATATAGTTTAAGTGATCATTGGAAAGAGTTCTTATAAGTCTTCATAAAGAAGACTTTAAAAATAAATTTTTTATATACTCTTTTAAGATTATAAAAATATATACCTTTATATTCCTTTATATATTATCACTACTAGGCTTTAATTTTTTTTTTGGAAATTTTTGCTAAAAAGTAAAAAATCTAATATATTCCTTCAAATAATCTGTATTGTCTACTACTAAATTGAAAGTAAAAATACAAAATAGTTATATATAGCTTATATATAAAATTATATATAAAAAGAAAACAAATACTAATCATTGGTCTACAGCTTAAAAAATCATAGCAGAGATTCTACTTTATTTTGTATTAGCAATATATATACTATATACTAAGTTTAAAATAAACCTAAATTTAAGAGTAGTATATAATTTTTTAAACTAGCACAAGCTAATTTAGTGCTGTCAAAGTTGTTTATTTTGTTTCTTGTTTTTTATATTTTTTTCTTTTGTTTTTTATATGGTTGTTTTTTTTTATATATTCCCTCCTTTTTTTTTGATTTTTTCGAAGAAAAAAAAATTAAAGAAAAAAAACAATTCTAACAAGGTTAGCAAACACCATTTATAAATCCGCTTCAGTTAGTTGAGGTTTCAAGGAAAGAAAAATTTGTTTGTTGCAACAGATCACACTGGACAGCCAAGTGAGTCTTTATTTTATTATTTGTAAATTTAAAACCAACATGAAATAATTTTAAATTTCATATCAATTTTAGTTATTTATAGAATCAATTTAACTATTCCAGCGTAAAAAATTAGTTGTTTTTTTTTATAAAGCTAAAGAGGTGATCCACTTTTTTAAGACTTTCGGTGTTATTTTGCAACCATGTACAGTCGCACCCCCTAAGTGCAAGTACTATGCAAAACCTCTCTAAATGCACAATAATGTTTGGCCCCAACTTATAAGAGTCATATATATTTTACTCTATAAATGCAAACACCCTCTAAGTGCAAAATTTTAATTTTTTTCACTATGGTCCCGACAGGATGCACTTAGGGAGGTGTGACTGTATAAATAGATTTATAATAATGAAAATAAAATAAAAGACTAAATGTCGCAGCTGATGCTAAAAACGGCTGATGCTGAAATTTTTTCATATTTTATTATAAAATTATAAAAATTTTTGGGCCTTTTTTTTACACTTTTTTTTCATAGTTAGGTTAGGGTTAGTAGGACAGTTTTATTAATAAAAAAGTATATGTGGATTTTAGTAGGTATTATAGATTTAAATAGAGACCCCAAATTTCAGCATCAGCTGCGACACTAAATATTAGCTAAACCAACAAATCTTTAATCTATTTGCAAAAATAATTACAGTATTCAATATACTCCATTAGAATATGATGCATACGTACATAACTTTATAACTCAAATTAATTAACCGACACAGTTTAGGCAAAATCTTATTGCGACAAAATTAACATTATAATGCAACACTTTTTTAATGATTAAGGAGATTTTTACTAATAAAAAAGGTAATTAAAAAATTAAAACAGATTTATTTTAATTTACACGTTCATTATTACATTTACGTAAAGACAAAAACAAACATACTGACATATACATAATAGATTTACCTGCAAATCAAATATGTATTAACGCCACGATAATTGAGCATTGATAATGACCGTAGTTGGGTCCTATTAAAATTAGTAAGTTAACGTGACTATTGAACAATTTTCTCTCTAAATAGCTCTAGTTATTTAAATTTTCTAACCCACTAAAAAACGGGTAAATTCAGCTGTGAGATTGTATGTGTTTTTATAAAGTCCAAACAAAATAAAATCATCTCGTTTTATGAACCCATATATATCAATGGTTGGACAAATCCTTGTTTTCAAAGGTGTGGTAATATTAATCAAAAAAAATCGAATAAAACAATATTACAACTTAAATCCAAAAAAAATCATCGAAAAATTATTACAAAAAGTATTAACAAATTTTTTTTTTTTTTAAAACTACTATAATGATGTAAAATGTAATTATTAACAAACCCTAACAACTAAGAGATCCAATTAATAAATCCTTATCCACGATGCGCAGGTGTTGCTTTCTTCTTTCCTCCAAATTTTTTTGATAGCCAAGTTAAACCATTACCGTTTCTTAATCTTTCCATTTCACTTATTGCTTTATCAACTCCTATATCATTTGTCCTTGTTTGTATCTCTTTTATGATTTTTTTACGAGCGATTAATGTATCTTTATTTTCACCTGCCCACTTATTTCCATAAACTTCTAATAATGTAATTATTGAAGGGTTTCCATCTAGACCAACATTCCATTCATTCCAAACATCATAAACAGTATCGAGAGTATCTAAATCCGGAAGATTATGATATTTAGTTCTTTGTATTAAACTTTGTGATATATTCAACGGATTATTCATTTGATTAACTAAACTGTTATCCAAGGCAAGTGTCGATTCACCAAAAGAAATTGGTGAATTAATTGGAGGACCATTAGCAGAATCTATTGGACTAGGAATAGATCCATTAGAATTTATGGTCGCAGTACTTGGAGACCTTACAATAGCACTTGTTAGAGTAGTATCTAATAACATATTAATTGAATTAACACCATGATGTTGTCTAATCATAGGATTATTATTATTGTTCATATTTTGCTCTGCATGACTAGAAGACATTTCAGTTTGACAAGTATGATGAGCAGATGTTTCCGGTTGACTATCTTGAAGAGGAGAAATAACTGATTGATTAGCAAGATGAGTAGATATTCCGGATTGATTATTATGGTGTGATGAAATTCCAGGTTGACTATTGTGGTGAGGTGAAATTCCAGATTGACTAGTATAATGAGTCGAAATTCCAGATTGACAATTATTATGAGAGATTAAAGACTGATTGTCGTGATGAGGAGAAATTAAAGATTGACTTTCATGATGTGGTGAAATTCCAGATTGACTAGAATGGTGAGGCGAAACTCCTGATTGAATACTAGAATTACCGTTATGAGACGCACCAATATGAGTCGGTGGCAATGGTGAAGAATTGAATGAATTTATAGCAGAACTATTGTGGAAACTTGGTGTATGATTTGATGTAATTGGAGAATGAACAGAATTAATAGTATTATTAGATGCAATCATTGAAGGATTCACGATATAAGGTGAAGAATCTGTTGTTGATACATTATTATATTGAGAACCTAAAGCGCTCGAGTTGATGCCAGCATTTACAGCTAAATTTGATGCGACATTATTAATAATTGATGCTATTTGAGGAGCATAAGAAGTAGCAGCCAAATGTTGTTGTAATTGACTAGAATTTGTTGGTTCCGTGAATTGCGTCGAATTTGACGCCTGATGAATTTGTGAAACTGAATTATTAGATTCAGATGGATTAACCGCTGTAGTATTATTAACATTCGTATTATTATTATTTGCAATAATTGGAGTTATTTGTGTTGGGAAACGAGTTATTTGTGGAGGCATTTCCCTGGTTTCCACGGTTACTGTAGCGGGATCCGATGAAACTGTATTACTTGTCACCGGAGAAATATCAGTGGTGACAGTTGTAGTAGTAGTTGAATTATTATTGGCATCTGTGTGAGTGATAGTAGTCATTTTTATCGTTATGATTGTACTTGTTGTAGTAGTAGAAGAACCTGGTTGTAAATTAGCTAACTGATCCTGCAAGTTAGAATCTTGAGAAACTCCGGGCCGTGGTGAAGATGATGCATCTTGTTGTGGACCTCTTTGCGGAGAGGGATTCAACCTTGGTTCAGAAGGCATTGGTATACGTATTTCGGGAAGCGGTCTCTCTTCAAGCATAGTGGAATTTTGTTTTGATTGGCTGATATTAGAGGTCGTTTAAAACGTTGTGTAATCACGTGACCGATAGCCAATCAATTTGATTGTTTTGATAAACACGGATCAGCCCGACGAATAAAAAAAGAAAGAATACAAGAAAACTAATGTCTAAACCTATATTGGTGCACTAATAAAAAATGCTGGGAAGGTGATTTTACTTATAGATTATACTCTACCCCAACCAACCCTTACCCTAACTTTAATTAAATATTCAAAAACATACGATGCAAAGACTTCGCGAAATATACGCGCTAAATTTTATTGGTAAAAATCGAAGATCTTTTCTAAAATTTTCTGTTTTTAATTAAATCCAATAAATTTTTTATTATTATATAACACTTAATAACTACTTGATTAAATTTGATAAATTTAAATATTTTTATTTAAAAATAGAAAAATTTTAGGTATCTCTAACTAAAAAGATATCTAGCTTATATATTTCTAGCCTAAAACTATGTATATAGTATATATTAGATAAGAGTAAGTATTATAAATAAAATTGCTTTTTTGACATTTTAATTAGTGTTTTAAAATAGGTTTAGATAACTATTTCTTGTATTTTTTATATTTTTTTACCTTTTTTGTTGGTTTTGTTTTGTTGAACTATATAATTGTCTTTTGTGCTATCTTGTACTATACAAAGAGCTATTATACTGTATAATTTGTTTGTTTTTTAATTGGCTTCTAGGTTTAAAATATAGTATTATTACTGTATAATATATAGTTGGTATATTAGTATATTTTCAGATTTGTGATTTACAAGACCTTAAATTTACTATATTTGTTATTAGGGAACTGTTATTTATTATATAATTACAGCCCCCTTTAGAGTCAGTTATTTGACAATTATATACAAGTTCTAAAGTAAACATAATATAAACTCTATACAATTGGTTATTTTAGAGCTTGCAATTGTCAAATGATTGATTACTTTAAAACTTGCAATTGTCAAATAACTGGGGGCTATAATTACATAATAAGTGATAGTTCCTTTAAACAAACAAGAAAGATGTTTAGCTCTTGGCTTCTCTATAGCTATATAAAGAAGATTGTGATATTACAGTATTTATACAAGTGTTAATAAAAAAAACAAAAAAAGACACTATAAATATATTAGGCTATATAAATAAAATTAATCGTTTCTCATCAGCGGCCGGGTTATATAATATTATGAAAGAGAAAAAAAATTTATAAATGTTTTACCGGTGAAAAAAAATATATTTATTTTAACCAATCATATTTTAGAAAAGGACTAATTTTATTTTAAAAATAAATTTTTTTCCCGGGCAGGTCACTTTTTACTATTTGACTTGTTAAGGTAGTTCTAGCTCTAAGATATTCTTACAATAATTATCGTGATTCAATCAAATTTTGGAAGATCATTTTAGAAACGTTCTAGAACCGATTTCCATTTTGCCTATATACATTTTTTCGGGGAAATGCTAGGGTTGTTAGTCTTCCGTATACCAGTCGAAGCCAACGCGATATCAAACTAAGTAGTTACGCGTGAAGAGCCTTACCTTGGAAAATATTGAAGCGATCCTCACAAATTGTTTAAAATAACTATCGATTATAAAGGAAAGTGAAAAAAGAGAGATTTCATATCGACCATTCATGAGTATGATCATTTCGCAGCCGTGTAACTCTATCTCCTAGCCAATCAATGAGAGTTGCACAAACAAAAATAAATCTTAAAGAAAATCAATTAACCAAGATTTTTTTTTTGATTTTGCTTGAGACATATATTTAAATAAAATCGTGTATTTATTGAATTCATTATTTAATTTCATTTTGCTTGGCATAAAGAATAGATACAAATTGTAATAAATTGTTTAAATTATTCGTAAAAAAATTAATATTAAATAGCCAAATATGATGCAGATTTTTGTTAAAACCCTTACGGGGAAGACCATTACTCTTGATGTCGAGAGGTAAAAAATTTAATTTATTATGATTAATAATTGATTCTAGTATTCTTATTAAATGAATCCATTCACATGTTATCTTTTATCTTGTCAATTAGTTCTAATACGGTTGATGATGTCAAGAGAAAAATTCAAGATAAAGAAGGTAAAATTTATTCATCTAATAAAGTATCTTTTAAGGCATCAAAATGATTAGTACGAAAGATATTTTTTAATTATAGGTATTCCCCCGGACCAGCAACGTCTAATTTTTGCCGGTAAACAGGTAAAAAATTTGGATTCTAACAAACAAAAACAAAATAGAAAAAAATAAAACAAATCAAAAATTCATTGCCATTTATAAATTAGCTCGAAGATGGTCGTACTTTATCCGATTATAATATACAAAAAGAATCTACTCTTCATTTGGTTTTACGTCTTCGTGGTGGTATTATCGAACCATCGCTTAAAGCCCTTGCATCAAAATACAATTGTGAAAAAATGATTTGCCGTAAATGCTATGCTCGTCTACCTCCTCGTGCTACTAATTGTCGTAAGAAAAAGGTTTGTATACTTTATATATCTCTTGATTTGTATTATACAATATGATATATTTATTATCAATAATATATCTTTTAATGAATGATTTTAGTGTGGTCACTCTAATCAATTACGTCCAAAGAAGAAACTTAAGTAATCGAGCAAAGATTTTCTACATCTCTCGATAATTTGGTCTTTATCTTTATATTGAGATATTGAGAGTAATAATATTAGAATTAGTTTAAAATTATTGTAAAATTTTTTGTTCCTAAAAATATATTGATTAAAGAATATAAATAATTTGAAAACATAATCAATGATTTTTTTTTTTTGCATATTTATTATGATTTTGACCGAATCTTCTTACAAATAATATCGCAACAATGGTAATTAGTATTATTAATTTCCTGGGAGCTTAAAAATCACAACGGAGATTCTCGATGAATTTAGGATAGGATACAGACGGCCCTTCGGGCCATCTGTATCCTATCCTAAGTTCATCGGAATCTCCGTTGTAATTTTTTAACTCCTAACAGGAGATTCTGGTAATTAATTTGCATGAAAAGTTCAATATTAAACAAACAAAATTAGCAATACTTTAAATAAAAATAAAATTTTCACGATATGAGTATATTGTTTATTTAATAAAATTAAAATTGCTAAATAAAAATTGTCTTATTGTGATTTAATATTTAAAAATGCAAAAATTTTTATAAACCATGCCTTCTCAAGAAAGCTTCTCTTAAAACAGCATTAATAGATTGATATCCAGATACCGATCCAAAATCTGGTTCATTATTATGATTACCACTATTATCATGCTTATTTATATCTTCGATGTTGTTAATTGATGTATGAATTACTGACATGATAACACCGGAATTTTCATTTAAATTTGTTATTGAATTTTCTATCACCCTACCCCCAAAATCATTTTCTCTTTC